CCCCCGTTTGTCCCAAGCGCCGATGGAGAATCACCATTAGGGTCGTAGACGACTCCCTCAGGACCAACCGGACAAACAGAAACGGAAAATAGATACCCCCGGGGTTCCTACGTGAAAACAAACTGTAAGTGTTCCCCGAATTCGGAGGGTAGACGCTTAGGAACCGATGAAAATCCACCCGACTGATTCTTCTCCAGAACGCGCACTTTTCCTTGCAATTTGTTGCAGGAGGGCCTCGGGAGGGTGAGCGACGCCCTAAAAGTATAAAATGCATGAGATGACAAGAGCGAAACGAAAATTTCCTGCTGGACAGTCACACCGTTGCCCGGTCGCAAAATCCCTGGAAATCAGGACAAACTCGGACATAGGGGGAGGGGTTTTTTTTGCAATCCGGATGTCCGAAATTTAAAAAAATTCAAAAACAAATTTCTTTTTCCCTCTATTTTGAGCAGTCATTCCCATTGTGAAATTGGCATTTTGACTGTGCGGTTAACACTAGATTTTGTTTTAATTAGTAATTTATATGTTTTTGTATTAAATTTATAGTTATAAAAAAGTTCTAAAAGTAAAAAAAGTTTTTTACTCTTGACATATACAAGGTTGTGTGAGTTTTGGCGAGGCATGGTGGATGTCCGGGGGAAGGGGGTCACTAATTCGGACAATGCCGGAAAAGGGGGGAGGGGGGTCTGAAATCCATCATTTGGCAGGACATCCTTTGTGAATGGCCCCCAAGTGAAGTGCAAGAATCTGAGTCATTCAAGTCCACCTTATCACAACCCGCACACCCGATTACCTATATATACATGAACTTACGGTTCACGATTTAGCGTGAATAGTCGATACATTTTGCGTTCGACAATTACTATACCCGAATTCTGTGATAAAATAGACGAAGTTAAAGCATTTTGGTTGGTTTGAAAAGCGAAATATGAAGCGAACGTGTGAATTCACCGCATACTTACACGCCAAATGCATGTGCGTACATATACACGAATGATATCAAATGACGCTTGTTGAATTCGTGTTCAGCCTCTCGATCTTGTTATAATTCCCCCAGCAGCGGTTTCATTAAATGGTAATAACTTCATTGGTACTTGAGCCAACGTATTCCTTTGTCCACCAGAAGAGTGAAAGCGCTTGACCACGGTAGAGCTATATTTGAATAAAATGCGTCTCACTGAATCATACATGGGTAGCTACTTGGGCCAACGTATTCCTTTGTCCACCAGAAGAGTAAAAGCGCTTGACAACGGTAGAGTTATATTTGAATAAACTGCGTCTCACTGAATCATACATCGGTACTTGAGCCAACGTATTCCCTTGTCCACCAAAAGAGTAAAAGCGCTTGCCCGCGGCAGAGTTATATTTTGAATAAACTGCGTTTCATTGAATCATACATCGATACTTGAGCCGACGTATTCCTTTGTCCACCAGAAGAGTAAAAGCACTTGCCGGCGGTAGAGTTATATTTGAATAAACTGCGTCTCACTGAATAATACTAAGCCACTGACCGTTGTTTTATATCCACGAAATATATTTTCCAAAAGTATAATTTCAAAGTACTTTGCTGCAGAGGTTATACACTTTTACTTGCAAGTGACACAATGAGGCTTACTGATCCAAGCAGGAAACTGCAGACGAAGAGGTGAAACCTGATTGGTTATTTTCCCGCACGCATGGGAAGAGATTTGACAATGTCAATGGTTTCTTGTTAATTCAGCCTTGCGCTTTGCACGTGTATGATCACACGGTTCACAGATTGACCTTTGTACTAGAGCTTTGTACTCCAGGAGACTTTGCACAACTTTACTCTTGTCCGAACGCTTCTTTCATTAACTTAAGTTTATAATGCTATGGGCGTGTATAAACTTGCTTATTTAGTTACCACGCGACGTGATTTTTCAGGATTGAAAGTTAGCTGATAAAACAGCCAGTGAAAGGAAATTTTAAAAGATACGTAGCCCAAATAACTCAAAATATGTTATAGCGCTTCTAAATATTTGAAAAACTTAAACCAGGATCGAAGTCATCGGTCAGTGAAAATCGAAAAATCGCGATGCCGTGTCGAATCGCGTTCGGTGTGTCTGAGCCTTAAAAACATCGACCAGAAAAATTTTCAACGTCCGTAATGGCGAAGCCCCGCGCGACATACACGCGTGTTTATTCCAGTGAACTGAATATAACTGGAGTCATATAAAAAACGCGTGCTGGCTTCAGGCAACATTAACCTACGATCAGGGAGAAATGAACAATTGGAGTAATTTCTGAATTCATGAGGGCCTGATCGGCTGATCCCTATTGGCCGCCAAGTTTGTTTCACCCAATAATAGGGCCTTTTATACTATTGAAGCATAATCAATAGAATAAGAAGGTTTATGGGGAACTCGATGCAGACATAATAAACCTCATTATCTATGTTCTTCGTTTATGCAAGAAAATGTCGGTTCATCGTCACGTTATTATTATTATTATTAATCATCTTTATACAGGTTAACTTGTTCAGCTATTACAATAAATGCTGTTATCCTACAAGGACCTGTATCTATCTACATTAATCAATTATGATATTTTCTAAAAAGTTAAAAGAGATCTAGGCTAAAATAGATAAAAACTACTGACTAAGAGGAGTTTACTTTAAGGTTACAGGACACCCTTTTTGGCGTTTTGCGGAAAATCGCTACTGCGCGCTCAATATCAGTCCGATTTTCATCAAATTTTCACCAAATGTTCTCCAGTGCATGCAAAATATGGTAAAGTTGTAAAATTAACAAACAATAAAATAATGTAAGAATTATTCAGGAAAATCTTAAATCGCGGTACCGTTACGCTTTTGAGTTGTGCTCCTGCTGGTTTTAAGTTATATTTATGAAAATATCATTTTTAGACAGTAAAATAGTTTTGTTTATTTCGTCATTCCGCTGATATGGCGATTTCTTTGACGATTGCAATATATTTCTGAATCGTTTGAGTGAATTGCTCTTTATTTTTAAAATATCCAAAA